CAGCTGTTGAGCACTTGAAGTGTGACTAGTTTGGGGTGTGCCATTACATAGGTGGCTCACATGTTTCTATTGGATAGCACTGATATAGAAGCTCAATCACATTTAGGTTGGAATTTTCTGGCAAGAATACTTCACAGATGTGATGTGCCCTTTCATTCAGGAGGCACTAATGTCTGGTTGTCTCTTTTTGTGATATTAGCAGCCACTGATGAGACCTAGAATCATGGATTCACTGGGGGATTGAAAAATAGAGTCTGTCATTCTTCAGTTATTAGCTGGAATCCTAAAAAGAGAAACTTTCCCTCATCAACTATGTGATTATCCTGGAGTACAATTTATATAGAAAAAGCAAGAGATAAATACTTGGCTCCCTTTATTTATTAGTTTAAAATAATGACCTGGTTCCCTACCATCCTCTAAAGGTAGCCAGTGAGTTTTGTTTTTAAGTATCGTTGTGAGTTTGGATCTTATATTTTTTCTGTTCATTGTTATCTTTATTGATTGTCTTATCTTTGGCCAATGGGAGCCTCTTCAGCTAAGCTCCTGAGATCCCACCCAATCCCAGTATTCTGTCCCAAGCTTCTCACATACATTTCCTCCCCCAGACCTGGAATCTATCATTTCTCCAACAAGTCCTGATTACTCTTCAGTGGAAAAGGTATTTATAAGACTACAGCCTGCATGATAGGAGAGCTTGTTATTGTTGCTCGATTCTTGTTCTTTTCAGTTAACAGAACCAGGAACTCCAATAGTGTTGAGCTTTCAGCCCTTTTCTAAATCATGTATTTTTTATACATTTACTTACATTCTTCATATATGGAACATGAATGAATGAAAATAGAGAAATAAAATCATTCATAGACTAACCAGAACGTTAACCAATTATTTGTTGATTCATCATATCCTATATGCAAGACTATTATTTCCTAGGAGAAGAGACCTTGGACTTAGGAAAAACTCTAACAAAAGCATGTATTTTTAATAAATTAGGCAAATACAGGAGAGATTCGAAAGCTATGAGAGAAATAGATTAGTTATATGTTAAATACTAAGGGTACTAAGCCCAAGTAGCTGAGTTTATGACGTCAAAGAATTTGCTGCCACAAGCCAACCAAGTTAATCACTCTAAAACCATTCATGTTCCTATGTCCACGTGACGTTTGTAACAAGAAGCTTAGCTAGGATTATACCATCTGTTGTAGCAATTCACTTCTACGTGCTTTGTCCACAGGGAAGTTCTGGCAATTACAAGGTAAGTATGAAGTATATCTTGTTCCATTTAAATAAGTATAATATGCTATATAGAAACAGAATGTGAATGCTATGAAGTATTAGTAGTGATTTGGGGAATAGTGATTAAATGAGACATTGCCAACTAAAAATGTTTTTAATGCTTAGAACCAATAAACTATTCCCATATAATGAGCTACTTACCTTTGTGTAAATCCACACAGTAGTTCCTGACTTGCCACATCTGGCCACCCATGAAGAATTTGTTTCCAATGAAGATTCCATTTGCCTTTTGAAATAAACTTGGTTTCTTATAGTCCCTGAAGCAAAGATTGAGGTCTTCGAGGCAATAGACACTTTGCTC